CTATAGTGAATCAAGACTTGGTCAGGTACAAAAATCGATCCTACGCAGGTTGACGTAGTCCGTACAAATGCAGTTGTTCAGTATTTTCTTTTGAATGCATATTGTAGATACCTAGAACTTGGGGATACCAGCTGCTTTGTTCTACCGGTAATTCTATCGTCATAATGTGAGGCAAAGTTTTTCTGTTAACTATTATCTCACAAGGAGAGTCCAACAATTACAAAAGAATTAGGCTCAATAAGGATAAGTGTCAAGATGCCTTTGTTAGGCAAGAAATTTTCTACTAAGAAACTAACCAAAGTGCTCAACACGTAAACCAGTTACGTAATAGTGAGACCTGGTAGCGTGTGAAATGTGCCACAGGATTCCGGCACGCTTGATTCCCCATTCAACTCCCACGCTAGCTCCGTAAGGCTCTATTTCTCAATGGTTGAATACCGGACTGCTCAAAGGAGAAAATGCAACTTGTTTCAACTGTGTACGAATCGTATTGCTTATGAAAATTCAGGCCCAGGAATTATGTTTTGGCAACTTGTTCTCCCCAACGTCGCTAGCTGCTTCCCGATATACCCAGAAATGAATTATGCACCAACTCGGTTCATCGAATATATGCATACCTCCAGGTTGTCCCAGCACAATCATAAAGTTACGTGATGTCAGTCTTTTGTGCTACCGGTATGATTAGTACACGTATGTCAGCTAACGGTGTTCAGGCCCGCAGTGACGATTGCTAATATTCGCGGAGGATATGTGGTAACATGCGCTACAAAGCGTATAAAATCTACCGCGTCTGTGGTGAGAGTCTTTGCATTGTGTACAAATCTGGACAAACCATTTCACGATTGACAGTGGCGTGGACGACTGGTGTCATATAAAATGTATCAGAGCGACATACAGATTTAGCGACTATCTGTTTACCGTATGGAAGTTAAATAAAAGCACGCAAAAACAACCAACACCGAATTTTGCGCGTAACTGACGTTATTCTTTTCAGTAAATTCATTGTATTCAATCAGACTACAAAGTTTCAAAATCCAGTGCATACCTGTATTCGGTATTTGCAATAATCCTCCTTGTTCAGATAAGGTTTTTGTTGTAACGTAACACAGTTCTTGTAACTCCGCTCTGAGGGCTAAATTTGGAGAGCTGTACTGATAAGCGGACGATGACTCTACGGAATGCGACTCATTTGTTCCTGAATCAAAGTCCGTCTCCACTTCCTCTTTAGAAGTATAGGGATTTCTCGGATTTGCAGTGGTATTGGAGTGCACAACAGGAGAGCAATTACTGCTTCCCGCGTTGCCTGACCCGACAGCTGTGGTGTTGGTAGTGGTATTCGCAGAAGACTGACCTTCAGATAAATCCGGAAACCTGGAACATATGAGGGTATTCATGTACTCTGCTGCTGCAGGATCATTTAGGTGACATTGGAAAATTGCATAGAACTAAAGAAACACAAAATTGTGCTAAGGAGGTGAAATGTCTCTGTTGGATGTGAGCTGATCTAGTCAACTCCATTCGAAAGTCATGACAATCGAACGTGTCACTGATGCTTCTTTCTTTCTTATGGGCAAATACATATTAGACAACGCCTGAGTTATATAACATTCGGGTAAGACACATAGACAGTAATGTCAATTACTACTGAAAATGGCGAAAGTTTGTAGCAATCCAGTTTCCGAAAAACATCTGGTTGATTTTCTAACAGTATAGTTTTCAAACGAACAACGCAGATACTGGCCAAGCGTTTCATCGCATGGACGGCTATAAATGTTCATTGAGTTTTTAATTTTATAGGCTCGAGTATGTTAAATCTAGACAAAGTTTCTAATATTTGCCACCAGCAGAGCAGCCTGTCATATCCTACATTGCAAACAAATTTAGCTAGATTAACTTCAAATATTATAGTTAAAACTTTCGCCTGTACCTTGTTCAAACTGGTTTTAAATCCGAGTTGTTTTAATATGTAAAATAGTGATATAATTAAACCGAAAGGGTGAATTCAGCCAGCGGCACCTGTATTCCTTTGTTGGCAGCTCAACTTACATTAGAGTTGGGTAGGTTGCTCTTGATATCAGAATGTCGCCCTCGGTTGAGTTGACGTTTTGTTGTACACAAGAACCTATCTCATTTTGTGACACGGTTCCTGTCGTATGGATGTTAGATACAAAGTATGGTAGCGAAGCAATCATTGTATCTGTAGGAGGATTCATAGCACCGACACGAGCCAGACTGGTAGGTGCAGGAGAGTAGGAATTCAAAGGAAATTCCGTTGTACCAGAGGGCCCAAAGTATGTTGCAGCTGGAACTAGAGGAAAAGCTTGAATTACGGGACACGGCTGTGATTGTTGGTTTTCCTTCATTGGGTTATAGTGACCAGGTAGATTTTCACCATTTTGCGTGAGGTGAGAAGTTGCTAATCCTTCATAAAATATATGGTTTGCTTCGAATCCGCTCGGAATTTTTATGGTAGTCGTAGATTGCTTGAAATCATTCATCAGTAGTGGATCTGTTTACCAGGAAAAAGAGAGCGCAAGAACACACTTCAAGCTTGTTCGGGCATTACAGTTGTCCATAACTGTGAGAAAAGCAACCTTCAGCTACACATTCACGCCCTGGTGTCCTGAAGCTGATTGTCTCTAAGTCTGCAAATTTATCCTTGCGCGCAACTGCCAGCCTATTCCTCTAACATACTCTGTAACATCCACAGGAATTGATAACTAGTTAAATAGTTGAAGCGTGAGGCGATTGCATTGTTTTACACCCTTGCTAAATGGCAAATTTACGGTCTGCACTTGAGCATCGTTAGAGGTAAGAAGCACAATATTTCCCAAGCATACAGAATAATGAGACAAAGCAAATATCGGTGCGCACACCGTCGGAATCACATACATCGGGTTAAGATAAGCCGATTGTAAAGCGCGTAAACAATGTAAACTATTGTGGATGGTAAATGATTCATGTGTCAGCAGCTGCAATTGGAGGCCTTCCTCCTTGCACTTGAGATTAATGAGTAAAGTAACGCAAACTAAAAATAGAATACTCGACAAAAATAGTAGAGAATAGGAGAAATACTAGCAACATGTATCTGTATATGCTGCACATTATACGCTTAACACTTGTGCAGCCAAATCAAATACATCCACAAAAATTCCGGACTATGGCATAGAAATTACATCTTTATATATTAGCTCTTACGGACCCATTGCATACAAAGCTATACAGCTAGAGTTTACCTTAATTACTAACATAGTTTTCTCAACTGTTCGATTAACTACTCTTTGGAAAAGGTACTCTTAACTGAATCAATCGTTATTCGTTAAGATGTATTTGTAATATCGATGAACAACTTATCTCTGAGATATGTTTCGTATTTTATCCTGGCTGTTGGATACTGCGGGAGATATAACCGGCATAAGTCACCAAAGGTGAAATAGTTAGGAGTTGTACAATCAATGCATAACACAAATGTCTGCAGAATCCAGCGCTGTATGGCACTCGGGAAACAAATGTACATTTATATTTAGCAAACTTGTAGTGTGGAGAAGATCAAACTGGAATCCGTGGCAACTCAATAAATTAGACGAAAATAATGGAAGAATTTTAGCGCGAGTTTGTTGTGACCCTGGACATAGGTACAAAAATCGCGCTATTCAGAGTTGCTTAGTGGAGTACTCTCATTTACATGTTTATGTGTGAGCGGAATACTTTGTAGCAAACGTAAATACTAACAATCTGAATAAGATCAATCTATACCCTGGGTTGCCTCCTACCAGCTTCTGCTACGTAACTGTTAATCCGTAAGCGCTGAGTTGCGCCAAATTGGAATAAATTATGAAGGCGTGGAAGCCGTGGCAGAAACAGGACCTCGTTGTTCTCGAAACTCCTTAACAAAGAACAAACAACTATGTTGTTGTCATCTTTCATCTACCCTATCGGCTTAGACTGACGTCCCTATAATTTACAACATTCAAATTTGGCATTTGTGTGGATCGCATAATGATGTACAGGAGTCTGAAGAACCCAAACCACATTTGTCATCCTCTGCTAAGTCTGAACCAGAATACTAACCTACTGGATCATCCTCTGAAAAGCAAAATGCAATACAGCCAGCTAGAATTCCGTGGAAAAACGGAAAAGGCAGTACATCCAGGTAGAATGCCGAATAAACTTCCGCTCTCTCCGTGTGTGTCAGCTTTGGTATGTTCACCCTAATTTTAATCTTTCTCCCAAACTAGCGGTGGTTAAAGCATTGACTCATTTACCCTTTAATTTATAACTTGTGAGCCAGGGGCTACAAAATACAAGTTGCCGTTGTATTACCAAACCGCCAACCAATGTATTTCATGGATTAAACTTTTATACACGAACAGGTCCGCCGTTATAAAAAAGTCTATGGTGATTCACCATAAGGCCTGTAACTCTATCACAAGGTTTTCTTCCCATTAAGTTCCATCCCAGGGGAAATTTAAGCTTTGCTTTTGTATCTGTACCACAATGTTGATACGATGTAATCGTCCAGGTTAACAAGCACCGCATTAACGTTGCAATGAATTAGGTATTCTGCAGTGTTAGCTTTAGAGTAATTGGTGCGAGTATTATAATAGACTGGAGTTGTATCCTCAAAACTCACCCTTGGAGGCCAAAGCATATTTCTCCAATGGAATAGAATCATGTCCCAATATAACAAATTATTCCACGAATACCATCAGTTGACTAGGTTTCTTATGAGATGCACTATAATTCGCATTTATGGTCCTGGTTAGTAAACACTCATACAAATCTCGACAACTAACTAATTTAATTATATGTAAACAGGTATAGTACAATGACTACATTCAACGTTGCCTTTCCCTAATGGTTAACGTTATATATCTGTCATAATTTTGGCATAGAACGTCAATAATAGAGTCACAAAATGTTAGGTGTCTAACCAGAAATACAACTAGCTTTTGCATTGGATGTCCTTTACATCACAACTAGAATCGAGTAAAATAATCCTAAGTTACATACACCTCACCGCCCAAACAACTAGTGAAACAGTATCCAGAATTGGTCATCCGTTGCAGTTTGCGCTTTCGATTAGCAACCAAAGCCACTACGACGAGTACGAATGCCAGAAAAAGGAGAAGGCATACGTAAATGGCGACTTCATGTGTACGAATTAACTTTTGTAGTTCAGTAGTATCATGAAGTGTCTGGCTTTCCAGGCGAGGATTGTGTATTTTCTTGGCTATAGGATCTGAAAATGATGAAGTTGGAATATATAAAAGTAAAAATGTCCAGCAACATGCACTGCTAACCATTTATAAATACTTGTAACTAAATATATATGTAGGTATATATTATGTATATAATTGTTTGAATGGTGTACACTACAATAGCTAGGGAAGAACCTATATTTAACTGGGTGTTGTAATAGACCAATTGCAACAAGCTAACGTAATTATTTCTTCAGTAGACGGAAGATACTGAATACGATCGAAGTGAACATCCTACATTTAAGAAAATTGACAAATACCACGCACGTTTCAAGTGGCCGTCACAAGTATACATGATTTTAAATAAGAACTTATCGTTTAGTGCTATCATGGAAATAAGACCACATTTGTCCTGAGATATACCAGAAGCAAACGTCTTGCAAATATTGCATCAATTTTTCTACTTCGTCTTCGAAGGAAGTTATTTACTATGATTTATATAATGGTTCAGCAGATTGCTTAACATTTACGTAATTTTCCATGAAAGCACTAAAATGTACACACATCTCACCTAATATTTTCATTTGGCGATTTTTAGGAAGCAAGTTCCGGTGAGATATCTTCTAAAACCTACAGATGCGAGTCAGGTATTTGGAACTTTGCTGAATAATTGATTACTTAGATGAGAATCCAGTTTTTGTTTGAATCACTAGTTTCAATTTCTACAACAGTTTTGCAGGACTGCCTATGTTATATCGCAGACATTTAGGTCTGCTAAGTTAAATGTTTTAACTGACCAAGTTATCACGCTTAGATTTTTAGCAATTGAGGTAACAGTCAATGAAGGATAGAACATTAGTGATTTGTGAGGGGAATAGAGTAGATGTGGTCCATATTTCATGATAGATTATTAGGCAGTGTATTTATGTATCTTCTCTACTTATCAGCTTTAGCAACTTTTGCCAATTAGTGCATACATCGTTCATATATTTTGCACTCCATATTGCCTTACGTCTTGGCAATAAAGGCAGAAGCAATAGGTCTGAGAATCGAGTATTCTTGTAACAGCACTGCTGAAAACAAGTGAGCAGCAGGATTAGGCACTGAACCGGTGCCTCTTCCAACATTTCAAGTGATAAAACCGAAAGTGCTTTTAAAATAGACAGAAGCACACGAAGTTTATTCCCGCTCAAATGCTGATTGTTAGCTACAAGTGTGTGTGTGTGTCTACATCGGCCGGTGTTCATGGCATCTGCTTGTAATCTGTAGATCCTCAGTTTGAATCCACCTTGCAGTACACCCGGCCTACTTTCAAACGGTGGTGGGCGCAAAAATGAGTATGGGTGGCAGCAGTTACAGCAGCGAATCTAGGTAAAGCTTATGGAGGGATGATATATGGTTACATAAATTGTACGAGTGCCGCATTGGGTTAACCAGGTTTATGCATCATCATTATTAACATGGTAGAGGAATTGGTTTGGAATAGGAAAGATATACAGGAGATGGACGCTTAAAACTAAATTTATATTAAGTATGACAAACTCAACTAAATGAACCGCGGAAACTTTAACTTTTCAGACCTAAAATTGGTATTGGCCAACACAATAAAATTTAACTACCTCAATTGCTTGGTTTTCCAAGACACTACTGATTTAGTTTACCGTAACCTAAGCGCTGGCATCCGCTGCCCGCCTTAACGTGATTTTATACATGCTTTTCCAGAATGATATTTCTAATGTGTATAGAATAATAAGCCTACCGTACACTCCAGGAAGTCAGTAAAGTATACAGCCTAAATTTAGTTTCAACTTATTTCGGTGAATAGTTGTTGACTTTCTTTATAGTAAGACATAAAATGGCAACACCATCTCGTATCCATAAACGCAAAACTTAGAAAATTTTCTAGTGCTGTTGCGCATAAGTAGCTAGGTGTATATATTCGGGTCGTCCTTTGTACTGCAGTCTTATGATATGGTGTTTTAGTGATTATATATTATGGAGCGTGTAAAGTTTGCTTTTGCTATACTTAAATCCCTATAACCGAAAAGTGACGATTTCTTTATAGTAAACGAATAATAGCCCACCTTAAAAAATACAGCGTATGCACTCCTGTTCTCAAGAGTTTAACTGGGGGTCAATTAACCACGGCCCTTGGAAAGTTATCTATTTTATACTGATGGAAATATCTCTCCATTTTGCGATTAAAGAAATACTTTTGAAAATATAATTGGAAGAATAATGTTTCTAGTGATAGAGACACCTAACTATAAATCTTGGAACACAATGAGCGCATTATATGCTGCATTCACGGAACATAGAGTAATTGAGGTAAAGGATTTTAGTATTATCTTTATGAAACTATTATGAGTAATGCATTTATTAAGTGAAATACATAACAACATTATGTTACTAAATCAGTTGATCATGAGTGATCCGGTGTTCTCTCTAACCACCAAGCAGGTTAGTGTGTAGTGAAACAAAAGAACCTAAGCAAACTACAATGACCTCACTATTAAACGTTAACCGATTCATTATTTGGATAATAATATGCGTCTCACATTTCCACGCCTGCATTTTGTGTCAGTCAAAAGCGTATTTCTTAGTATTTGATTAAATTTTACTCCATGAAATAACTGAACATAAAGGTAATATAAAAAAATTTGGAAAACGATGTTTATTTGAAACAACAAGGAATATTTAATGCCGTAATTTTACATCATTATGTATATTTCCAATCCAGCCAGGTTCTATATTTCTCAGTTCTTCGCGCTATCAAGTTAAAAGGCCAATAAAATGTAAGAAACGTGAGCATTGCCACTTATGTACTTGCATCAATTTTCATCAACATTTCAAAATGGAAGAGATTATGCGCACTTAACTATGAATTGAAATAAACAAAGTTTTTGTCGCAGGCAGTCTGATAAGTAGGTAATCGCTATTGACCTAACGTTCGTATAACAAATTTTCTTATGGTTATTATGCACGTACCACCGGCACAACGGAGTTGCTACAATCGTTTTTCGCAAGAAGCAATTGTTTGTGGCTGTGCTTCTTCGAAACTTGGAAAACCGTGAAGTCTGACTAAGGTAGCTAAATAACCAGTAATTAAGGGATCTCTAAATCGGTGCAGCCTTAATTTGCGGTCTCAGTGAAATAAAGGTAGCACACTGGACGATGATGTAACCCTACTTTGAATCTGACACCGAAAATAACTGCACACGAGCAGACGTCAAGTACTGTGCATTAAATTAATTATCAATGCAAAGAAAATGAAAGCACTCAGCATGTTTGTTGCCTGGTGTTATATTATGTTGCTCATTTTTGCTTAAAGCGCCAGAAACGGAAGCTACATTCCACAGAAAGAACTGTTTTGCCTTTCTTAATTTATGTCGGCCGTTTTCTGTCTTTGCCAAATTGAAACAACTCTGTCTATACACATTAACGCTAACATCTGTCTGGACATCTCACTTGTGAACATTTCTCGGTTTTTACCGATTTAGAGTGCATAATAGAACCTCTTGCAACCATGCTTTGAAAGCTAAAAAGGTTCAGTCAAGTTCCGTGCAACCATGTGTTTAAGTTTGAAGAACCAGGGTGGAATGAATGCACTCCGCGCAACAATGATGCTGTGTGCAAAATAAATACGCGCTCGGTGCTGTCATTTTTCATTAGATAAATCTAGTGACGCGTGAATAACCATCAATACATGTAGAACATTAGATTATATAACATTGTTTTTTAGTGTGCTTCCAACAATGCCGATGTTTCTGTCCGTGTGGTTTCCTCGGCGGCAGTATGAACCGATGGATACATATAGGAGAAAGAGGGAACGTCCTCTAACAGACAAGCAGCCTTACATTTCCAGACCTAGTACACGCTAACTGTATAATGCATTTGAATTCAAGACACGATGTCTAAATTTGTCACCTTGTGCTACTGTTTCAAAGGAAATATCGAGATAAAATGGAGGTTCACATTTCGGTAAATGTAAAATGAATACAACGTGCGTGTAAACTACAATTCAATAATAGCTACTTTTAAAAATATTTTAAATATGAGTAAATGAGGATATGTGAAGACATTTAGTGCAAGAGCTATCAAATGCAAGTGCATGAATTGTTGTAGCAATAAGTACTACAAAGATCAAATCCCAGCTGCCCTTACATACAGTATATTCAATGTTTATCGCTACACATCGTATGAACTGACTTCTTTATGCAAACATTTCGACTTACGATTTGAGGATATCTTCACAAACGTTTTCTAAGGGCTATTTTAATGCACAAGAAAGTAACTCAGTACTCAAGACGCAAGATAGAACGAGGCCTACAATAACAACCATTATAAAACTTCCGTTGCGCAAGTTGATAAAAATGCAAACCTCGCGTTCATCTATCTATATAAATGTTTTGTCTTCAGGTCAATGCACTCCGTCCCTGCAGCTACGCCCAGTCCCAGAGGGCTTCGGCCGTTGGGAGTGCGGTGGCCAGCTTCTGCGTTGTGTTCATCCCACGTTAATGTGAACTATTGAAATAATACGCTTTTGCGCAGGTGCTTTCTGCTATGTAGACTTTACAGTGAAGTATTAGGATGAGTTGAATCAGACAGCCGTCACAGTACGTGCGTTTCATCATTTGGGGAATCGTCAGCAGTGCGCATTCCATCGGACCCTGGTAGGGCTCGAACCCGCAACTCGACTGTTGCCAGTTCGTGGTTGGGACCACTGAGCTACGGTGGACGGCAATGACCATGGTAAACGAGTTACAAGATGTGATATTGCGCCGCGCAATATCCACCGACTCACAAGTTACTGCCGTGCAGAGAACAGAGTAACCTCCTCATCAAACGACGAGCTTACCAAATTTAAGCCGTCAATAAGTTATGGCATTATAAGCAATTTGGTCTGCGTGCTGATTCCAGAGGAGTAGTAGTGGAAGTTTGTTGGAAAATCTACACAGGTAGAAATTCGTCACATCTAGCTTCACGCAGACAGTTTACGTTTGGTAAGCTCGTCAATTGGTGAGGGGCTACCCTATCCTCTGCGCGGCAGTAACATATAAGTCAGTGGATAGTGAGCTGCGCTATATCATATCTAGTGATTTATGTTTCATCGACGTTACCGTCCCCGTAGCTTAGTGGTCGCAACCACGAACTGGCAACAATCGAGTTGCGGGTTCGATGCGGGTCCGAGTGAATGAGCAATGTTGACCATTCCCGAAATGATGAAACGCACGTACAGCGCTTTTCCGGGAGTGTGACGGCTGTCTGAGTGAGTCTAGATGTGACGAATTTCTACCTATGTAGATTTTCCTGGCAGGTCGACGATTAATGAAATGAATTAGAATATCCAGCAAGGGTGAAAGTCATTTGTTTTCGTAATATGTGCGATTATTTGTGGATCGGTAATCCAAGTTAGGGGGGATCGTATAGAAAAGGGATTATTACAACATACAGTGGAATGCAAGGGACTGGTTTTAAATTTTATGCAACTTAATATTTAGGTAAGACAATATAGATGATTAGGTAGGTTAAACGCAGCTAAGTAACTTACCATGAATGTTCACCTTTGCTGTGGCATACCGATACTCAATTCCGATACATTCGGCGACGCAGCTGTAGTTACCACTGTCCGAAACGGTTGCGTTTTCAATAAGTAGGTGGTTGTAGTCATTGATGATGATATGCGGAAATGCATCTTTTGTGACACGTTTGCCGTCTTTCATCCAGTATACCTGAAAAACGGTTGCGACTAGAATGAAAACGCTAGTCAATTTACACTACGAAAAGGGCCTTGCAAGCATAAAGAGAAATTAAAGTATTTCTTAAGAAGTAAATGGAGAAATCACATACGACCATGTGCTGAAGCTTGAATTTTGGATGTATGCTCAGTAAGCATGTTCCGTCACATTATGAATGATGGCAGCCAAATATCTGTTTATATCCACACAAATAATTATGCCTTTTGCTGGAAGCAGATTTTCGTAGTTGCAATTGGGTTAAAATGAGATGTGAGCCGCACGTCGGTCAAATGTTTTTATACAGGCGATACGTAGATGACACACTAGTGATCGCCCCAAGTGTAGACTCTGTTCTATTATTTGTAAGTAGTAAGGGGATTTAGTGGGTTTTTCTGTAGGTTCGTCGCATTTGGACCCAGGTGGACAGCCACCACACATCCAGGAAAGCGCTGGATGGCCGATTCGTCCTATTGGGACTCGTCAGTAGCGCGCACCCACCGAATCCTGCCAGATTCGAACCCACGACCATACTCTTGCGATTCAGCAACTTATTTCTCTGAGCCATGGGAGACGGCAGCGGACCGCCATGACTGATATCTAACTGCAATACAGCGCGGCTCATCCTCCACTGTCTTGCATGTTGTGAATGTGCAGGGGACAGGGCGGGCCCCTAGAGCAACGGCTTCCTGTGCAAGCCGCCACTCATCGAGTTGACGAGTCCCAATAAGGCGAAAAGGCCGTATAGCGCTTTCCTGGATGTGTGGTGGCTGTCTGCCTGGGTCTAACTGCGACGAATCTACAGAAAAACCTACTATATCCCCCTACTACTTAAAAATAATCAGTAGTCGCTTTAGCAGCTTACATGCCACCTCGTTTAGTGGCGGCTTGCAAAGGAAGTCGATGCTCTGGGGGCCAGCCCAGTCCTCTGCACATTCACAACTTGCAAGACAGTGGAGGATGAGCTGCACTGTATTGCAGTTAGATTTCAGACATGGCGGTCCGCTGCCGTCTCCCATGGCTCAGAGACATAAGTTGCTGACTCGCAAGAGTATGGTCGTGGGTTCGAATCTGGCAGGATTCGGTGGGTGCGCGCTACTGACGAATCCCAATAGGACGAAACGGACGTCTAGCGCTTCCTAGATGTGTGGTGGCTGTCCGCCTGGGTCTAACTGCGACGAACGTACAGAAATAACTCTGTGCTATTTTTTCTCAATGCGCTCGATAAAGCAAATCCAACCGCCCGTTTTACCTGTGAAATGGAGGATAACAATTGCCTGCCCTTTTTGGATGCATTGTTGACCAGACGAGGAGACAACTCCATAAAGCGTTCTGTTCACAGGAAAGCTACATAGACAGGATTGTATGAACACTTCAACAGTTTCGCCCCTATACAGTACAAGCGGTGCTTAGTCAAGACGCTCTTTAATCGAGCCCGCAGAATATGCATTGAAGACTCTATAAAATCGGAATTGCTGTTTATCACACAGACGCTACGGGCCAACGGATCTCCAGAAGCGTTTAATCGATCCCACGTTCAGCTGAAGGAAAAAAGGCCGAGGGTACCTACTGTGCCCAAACACTCTGTCTACCTTCAATAACCCTTCAAAGGTGATATCATGGCCGCCCAACCTGAAAGTCGTATGCGTACAGTGATTCGTCGGATATTCAAAGCCGCCAAATTCTGCCCCATTTGGGAGACAAGGATGTTGCTTATGCCTCCAGTGAAGCCTGCTCAACCGATCTCCGCCACAATACATAGTATTTACCAATCCGTTTGCAACTGCGGAAGTAGTTACATTGACATAACAGATAGATCCTTGGGTAAGCGCATTGGAGAGCTTATCCCAAAACTGATTGCTAAAATATCGACACAATCAACAGCCGAACGAGAAAAGGTATCTAAGCTGCGGGCATCATGGATGGCCAGACATCTACTCGAAGCAGGTAATCAGGTTGACCCTAGGTCAACATTTACAGTTATCTATCGAAATGACAACCCCAAAGTATTGAGGTTTGCCGAGGCGGTGGCACTTAACCGGCATCGCCCATGATTCTAAGATCAAGCTCGTTGCTCTGTTATCTATGCTTCTACGTAATTTTCCTTTGTGACCAGTTTCAAATCTTCGATTTTTCTGTAACGTGATTCATCTTTTTTTTGTTAGTTTGCGAGTGAGCAGATAACATGAAATGGTTCTATATCGCAACACCAATCATCTCATTGTCTTATTTAGAATGATAACGGGAAATCAGTGCTTTAAATTCTTTTACGTTTTATTCCGTTGAGTTCGCGGATATGTGATTTCACCCCAGTCGAATGGACCATACCCATCAACCCATTGGGGCTGCACGGCAAATTGATGCCATCGTCTTTTACACAGTAGCGAATTAATAATCATTCTTTCGGTCCAAGTTACTTATAGTAATTACAGGAGATCCCATGTTGACAGATGTTGTATTACTTCTAAGAGCAATCTTTCAAATGATCGTATACTTCTAAGACTGTTATCGTCCAATAAAAAGTGAAAATATTACCTCCGGTTCCGGCTTTCCCTTCGGAGGTATGCATGTAAGAACCAAGCGATTGCCCACTTCTAGTTCTGTAGACACCGGTTCAAGCTGAAATTTGCGATCCAGATCTGGCAGTGAAAAATTAGGTATGTGGACTTAGTCACACAGGTCTCGATGAACTAGCATATAATACAAATGTAAATACTAATTTTGTCACCCAAATCTCGTCTTCAGTTTAACGGAACGGGATGCTTGTATACTGTGTAGAATAATGGTGTCGAACCTAGAGTTTCAACCACAACGCCTTTGGCATTTGTTTGAGGGCGACTAGTAAATGCAATGCCACCGTAAATATAAGGCTTTTTGACTTTTTCTTTATGAATTTTGGTCGATAGCCTGTTAACACTGCTAGTATGTACTCTGTATCCGCTGCCACTAAGAATAGTCGGTTAATTTGATGCACGCGTAATCGGGAAATGAACCCAATGCATAAGTTATGAAATATCAATCTCGCTTTCACCAGGTTTTTACTTCTGCCCACCTTTCTCTGGCGCCGTAATTCAGGGAGAATAACACAAAAATGCTAGATAAAGTAACTGTTTTTGGGTGCCCCTAGAATTGCTTACCGGATGTTTATAATCAAACATTTCAGTTGAGAAATAATTACCCTACAGAAGATCGGAAGCAAACGTTAGCGAAGTGGCTTACTTTTAGTGGTTCTTCAACATGCTAACCCAACCGCTATTATGGAAACTGGAGGAGGCAAGGAAGAACAGTAGTAGTGTCTTACTAGATCATAACGTCTGGTCGATAGGACAAAGGAAAATTCACAGAAATAGCGTGACCGCCTTCATTGGCCGCGGCGATTTGCGTTTAAAGCAGACCGAGCCTCAACAATTTTTTTGTTTATAGTGGTTCGAAATTGGAGCCAAATATTGATCGTTTTATTTGCTGACAACTTGCGAAAACTGACCGCTCCTGTGTAACGTTCAAACACATTAAATAGGTTTGAGAGTGCCGAAAGAATTGAGTCCGTGATTGCCAAGGAAGCATTGAAGTAGCCGCACTTTTTTCACCCTACTGCAGATCGGAGAAGTCATGGTGTTATTCAGGACATTCGCCGCGTCGATTTCTCCGTTTGCCTTGTACGACAGCAGCAAGCATATTTGTGCACCCGAAAGAATATTTCGACCCAAGGATCCTTTTTGAGCTGCGATAGCACAGTTGGTATTGTGTTAAGACTTGTGCAAAAAGGCGTAGCAAAATGTGTTTTCCAAGCAACTATAGGAGAACTTCGTTTGGGCTGTTCTTCTATCGTTTTTCAGTTAGAATGTAACATTGGTACAATAACCACTCTGGTAAGAAATATAGAGATCGTGTTTATAAACCGCAACAAAATAATTAATATAAACTCTGTTAGTGCTTCCGTGCGTTTTTCGCTTCCACTTTCGTGTTCGTTCCTTTACTGCAGCTTATCTCTAGTGGACAGTCACATTGCACTTGTACGTTTGAAAATGAGTTTGTTTATCACTTGGACCACACATTCCTTCAGCAATTAAATGATATTTTGCCCTTACACAGAAGAATTCTGCAGTTACATCCAAAGACCAGAGATTTACCTATCAGTAACTCTGCAACTTTTGTTAATTGGTCAAAGAGGCAGGACATGGGTGCGTAATTAATCGCGTATCACACCTGAGGTTTTCAAGTAGGCCAAATGACTACGATTATGACACCTGCAGAATCGACACCATTTGTTTCAAAACACGTGTGGCTGCTTTACCACCAAGCTGTTCCCTGTGCTGGAGTTAAAATTTATGCATACTGGCGAGTTCATGCGGATCCGTCTGATGGAACTTCGCAACAGCTGGATGGAAAATGCCTAGATACCTACCCATATATATGCATGCATAAATGCATGTAAATATATATATATATATGTTAACGGGTACCGATATATATTTGATTTTATGAAGCTGCACTCAATATCAGGTATGCCCTGTATTGATGAATAGTATGGTGCCTACTGTCTGAACCACGGTAAGCTATCACTGCTCCAACGGCAACCACGTACAACAGATTTCGGGATGTCTCATTTACAAAGTGTCTTTACTTTTGATCATTTACTGCAATTAATGCACAGAAGTTTCATCCCCCTACAATCTCAACTAATTTTAATAGAACTTTGAATCGAAGTAAGAACACATGGCTTCTCAAAATATGCTTAACCTACTCGTGTCCCTGCGTATCAAAATCGGCAAGATTTAAACGGGAAAGTATCTAGTGCTTTGCAGTGCCCCCAGCCATATATTTGGTTTAAGATGTCCTTCTCTAAATTGCCAATATAAAATCCTGCACAATTTAATCAACAGGTTATGTTTGATTTTATTGCGGATCCTGATTAGAACGCAGAAGCTTCACTGTGCTGCGAAATATTATGTGGGAGAGCACCACGATACCGAAACTTTGATGCTGCTTGTCCATCATGATTCACGCGTGGATAGATACGCCACGGAGTCAAACATACCTACTCGGATTCCTTTTGGCCATCGCGATGAGACTGGAACTTAATGTGGTGCTATGGTTTATATGCCTCCGTGACCCTTTGAGATATGCTGGGTGGCGCTTATTAAAATTCTGAGCAACTCGTACCAGATTGGTTAATGGTTAGAGGCCAGAAAGCTCAGTCTTCTGGCCCTCCAGGTTGGGAGTTGGAGGGAGAGTAACAGGATATCTGTAGTCCACTGTCAAAACCCCGCTGCTTTGCGGAAAGGTTTTTGAACCAAAGACAGGTTGCGAATCCGAACCGCTCTTATGTCTAGGCATAAGCTACCTGAAAGTATTCTACCCACGCAATATAGCATAAACTTTCCTTCATACATATCTTGATGCTGTGGTCGTCAAAGAGGATAATGAACCGCATCCGAAGAATTGCATCGAGCGAGGTGGATAGGGGTTTGGATGATACTGCTCAAGCCATCCCGACTACTTATCCTTGCGCTTTTGCCACTTTAGCGTCCAGTTCCAAATTCACTTTCTTCCCCGTTTTCAGCCCCCCAATTATCAACCCTCCTCACTTTGCTTTAATAGTCTCTTGTCTTTTGGTTTCTGCTCACACACAGTCGCATAGCGTCGCTCCATTCCAGTCAACAAGTCCATGTTCAACCAAGCAGACAACGTCATTTCATCCAATTTCCTTTGGAGTCTTCGATCAGTACAATGGCTGGCATGCCGCAACGTGCGCAACCTGTTCCAGATTAGTCAACAGGCAGCACTTGCTCGAACACTTGAGACCCTCTCGATGGATATTTTATGTTTATCAGAATCTTGCCTGCAGGATTCGAGCTCCGTCTGTTCTCTGCGATCCACCACATGAGACAATGGTAGCTCACTCTCACTTCGTCTGTCAGGCGATGAAGCAGCCACAAAAGCAGGTCAAGTTGGAGTCGATATTGTTTCGAGTCCCTTGGCTAAATCTGGCGTGATCGACTGGATCACGGTCAACAGATGGATGTGGGCCGTCATGTTGGATAGCTTGTTCCAGGCTCCGAAGTCGCGCATGAACGAACGCTGGCTGTTTGTCATTGCGGCTTATGCCCCCAAAAACTACAATCACGACTCGATGAAAGATGGTTGGTATAACCAACTTAACGCTATTCTTCGTTACAGAAGGTGCACGGATACTGTGGTGCTTGCTGGTGATCTAAACGCGCATTTGGAAAATTGTCCTCTGATGAGCTTCATCTGGGCGATCAACGCGGTTAAGGCTGCTGTAATGATAGCCGTGAGCAGTTACTACACCTGTGTGAACGTGCTCATCTATTTCTTGCGACCACTAACGTTCGACATGGCACTCGCAATACAGTGACTTGGAGCCCACCAGCCTCGGGCCAGCCATGGACGCAAATCCATCACATAGCGATTAATTACCGCTGGGGAGGCTGTGTCCAAAACTGTCGCTCGATTTGGAGCATTAGTGTGGACTGCAATCACGCTCCTATTTGTGCTAATCTGCCGGTGTATTTCGGTGAACGTCCGCAAACTCGCTCTGAGCGCATTGACACCAGCCAGCTGGCGAGGCCAGGTATACTGAATGTGCAGCAAAATACGCTGGCAACTGGACGGATTAAGCTCCCAGTGAACACCGTCGAAGTTCACTGGTCGCATATTCGTCAAACCTTACTATCAGCAGGCAAATCTTCATGCAGCAAATCAAAATTCCAACTTAGAAATTGAGTCTCTACACAGTCTCTGGAACTTATGTATGCTCGTCGATGTACTCCGGCTGGAAGCGATTACAATGAGACTCGCAAAGCGCCCAGGGTAAAACTGCATGCTAGCCTGAAGAGAGACCGCCAAGGCTGGAGGTCACATCGTGCAACGGAAAAGGAAACAGCCGCTACCGTTGGTATTCATCGCACGTTATTCCATCTGAACCGGGAAATAGGAAGCAACAATCCTGGTGTTAGTGAGACAGTAGGCGATGATTGATGACTGCCAATACATAGCTTGTCAAAACGCATAAAGCTTTGGGCCGAACTCCTTGCAAGGCGGTTTAACCAATTTGAGTTAACGTTTTCTCGTTCACGCAATGAGTGCCCTTCTCCGTGGCCCGTTTCTTAGATCCATCCCCACGCGCAAAAGTCAAACGAGAGCTCAGAATGCTAAAATTGCATAACGCCGTCGGTGCAAATGGAATTCAACTAGCTTTAAAAATCCGGGGGACCTGCTCTTTTAGATGATTTACACCAGTCGCTAATGTAACTTTGATAACAGGAAAATGTGCCGACAGACTTCAGCTGCACCGTCATAGGCCCAATCTAAAAGCAAGGCTCCCGTTCGAAATGCGACAGCCATAGATTAATCAGCCTGATTTAAATTGGCACTAAATTGCTTGCCTATCTCTTTTACCACAGATTGCGTGGTGCCC